AGTCTCATCAGTGAATTTCTAGAGTAGCAGGCCACGCCTCCTGAGTTTTGATTGTATGCCTGAGAGATGTGGGGATTTTCAAAGGAGTTAACTCAGGACTGGACATGTACTTAGCCTGTCATTCCAATGTGCTTTGAAACACGTTCTGTAAACTGAATCCTCTGCTAGAACTTGGACTAACCATAAAAGGACATAAAGAGGGCAAGCATTGGCCTAGGCAACAGGGCATGTGATCTGGGGTCAGTCACTTTGTACGGCTGGGCTTCAACAGTCCTTGTTAAAAACAGAAAATTCTGCACCTGTCCTGGAATCTCATTAGGCATGCATTCTTCCCACCAAGTTCCAGCTTCATCGTGAACACTTCCGTCCCATCATGTCTTAGAGAAAGAGGTACTGAAGTTAAGGGAGAGGAGATCAGTAGGAAATTTGACTATGAGTTTTCCATTTCTAATTAGGCCCATTCATCATTAAAGCTGGAAATTTAATTCCAAACATCATAGACCCAGAGGAAATGAAAAGAGGAACATTCTCTCTTGATTTTTAATTTTGCTTCAAGAGCAGAGACTTGATTACCTCATACTAATGGGGACTCTGGAACCCATATTCTCAGTCACATGCTTTGTTTGTCCGTTCAAACTCCATTAACACGAGCCTCCTGGTCTCCATGATTAGAGAGGCTCAAAATGAAGCTCATGTGATATGATCAGTAAATGACAGAATTTGGGACTTTCAGGGCTATGAATTTTCTACGTTTCAGGATGCCGTGTGCTGTTGGGATGTAACATTTATTTTAATGGCCCCAGAAATGCATCGAGCAATAGTGCAGCCAATTAGCACTATCTTCCTGTCTGCCTGAGACTGTAAGAGGCAACTGGAACCACAGTGGGCATTTATAATTATCTTGTAATCCGATCTGCAGAGGTGGAGCAGTGATTGAGTATATAGATGACACATAAATCTTAAAAGAGATTTTGACTTTTTAAAAAGAAGATCTACGTAGTCCACCTGGTCACTAAAAGAGAGAGGAAGGAGGAATATGTGTCTGACTGTCTATTATTTTATTATTTCTTTACTTTCATGTGTGTGTGGCAGAGGGATGGATGAGAGACAGAGTGAGATTCTGGGGTTGGGGAGATGGCTCCGTGGGTAAAGAACTTGACATGCATGTATGAGGACCAGAGTTCGGTTCCCAAGACCTCATGTAAAACCTGGTGGGCATGGTCACCTGCCTGTAACCCCAGCATGGAGGCAAAAACAAGAAATCCTTAGAGCAATCAGCAGGGCCAGCTAGCCAGAAGAGTGAGCTCTGAGTTTATCCAGAGATGTTGCCTCAATAAAACATAGGAAGAAATCTAGGAAGACAGGAAGATACCAGACATCAAATGGTATCAAAGTTTGACCTGTACACACATGAGCACTCCCCTGTGCATAACATACATTCTGTCCATACAAGTGGGAATATCGTGCACACACACACACACACACACACACACACACACACACACACACACGTGCACACACGTGCACGCACGCTGCTGTTACATACATCTCACAGGAAGTCAGTGAGATGTGTTATTCTTTTATCCACTGCACAAGCAGTGACTATCCCTTTGTCATGTGAAGCCTCTGAGGTCTGAAGGAATGTTTGTTATAGCAACATGACTGTCTTGATCAATTTGGGAGGCTTAAACAACAGAGTATTTATTTTCTTTCACTGGAGGCTAGGCAGTTCTAGATCAATTGTTGGACAGTTCAGTTGCTGACAGGTGACCACACTGTGCCCTCACACAATGCCTCTTCTAAGAGCATTAAACCCAACCAGAGAGCTGCATGCTTATCTGAACCCAGCCATCTGAACCGAGAATCCTAGAGGCTGTATCCCAAAGCTGTCATTTTGGAGTAGAGCTTCAACGCGTGATCCAGTTCGTAGCAAACACTTGACTTACCTTGATGAATGCAGCAACTATTTTAAGGTTTCTGAAAGCATATCCTTTCTCATTTACTGGGGTTTACACAAAAACTGACACCAGTTTTATCTCTGTGATATTAGTGTCTTCATCACTTTACTGTAAATGGCCTCACTGCAAATTCTAGAATTGTTCCCAGAGAAGCAGGTCGCTGTCTCTTAAGGCTGCTAATAGCCCTCAGGATCCACTCTCTGGATCTTTCTTTCATTTTTCTCATGTCTCACTTATGTTCTACTCTGAGAAAGGGAGAAAGACAGGGTATGCTTATGCATGCCAACCATTTCACCTTGCTACTCTTCTGCTCACTACAATAAACTGGGATGGGGAAAGATGGTTTACGTGGCATCTCCTATAGAGCAGATTTGCCTACATTTCACTCCTCTCCTTTCCTAGGAAGCCTTTACTTCCTCACTTCTTTTAGGTCATAAGGATGCAGGGAGAGAAACTGACAGGTGAAGGGGGAGAAAGAAAAAAACGCATGCATCTTTTCAGTATGTATTTGTATGTATGTGCTAATGTTATATTCCCCACCAGGTGATGAGATATAGGAGGGAAAGGGTGGCCTCCTTTTTCATACACATCTCTTGTGCATAGCATACAGGATAGCACAGAAAAAAAAATGAGGGCTGTCTTCATTATTCAGAGTAGAGTTGAGTCTGTCCTGGCAAGGTGTATGTGACTTCCATATTTGATGTCCTCGTTGGTACATTCTTCAGACGTCTTCACAGCTTTGCCCAACTGCTACATCTGCATTCCCCTGTTAGAATGAATAAGTCATAAGAGTACAGCAGCAATTGTCTCAGTCTCCATTTGCTTGCTGCTAAGACTGTCCCCCAGCTGGTAGTGGAGAGCAGAGCCATGCATTATTTACCTTTGTGTATCTCTCCACCTTCTTAATCACCTTCAATGGTGCCTATGTCATGGGCTCTAGGAAGTGTTTGTTAAACATTTGTTGTGTCAGGGTGAGTTTCCTCACATTTTTTCTCATTTTTCAGTTTCTTAGAAATAGAGCCTGTGGAACTCTGTCCTTTTTCTGCATGAATTTTTATTGCGTCTACCCACAGCATCTTTGATCTGTTTGCCAACCTTTCATCTGAGGCTGTCTACCACAGTCCTAGTGTAGGAAGGCCTCAGCAAATATTCTGTGTTGATAAATGGATAATGAGAGACACAGGAGACAAGGAACTTGCCCGCTGTCTCACAGTGGTAAATGGAAGCTGAACTCCTTGTGTATAGTTGAACTCTCAATCCACACAGCCCCCGTCAAGTCCTTCTTTAGCTCAGCTGTACAAAGAATAAAGCTAATAAAGACAGAATTGTAGGATTGATACTGTATTAATTCTTGACATGCCCTGTTTGTGACCAGAGACTGAACTAAGTCATAGGAGAAACCCATTATAAGGAGATTAGGGAGGAAAGTGAATCCTCCAGGTGCATACACCATCGATAAGGGATCTACAGCATTGCTTCCAAAAACGCAATATTTTTTTCTATTAGTACATTCAATTCTCAGGAAGAACATGCATTGGACATTTGCTAACTACTGATTAACCCCAGGATGACCTAATCTTAGCTCTAAGTTTGGTATTTATACATAGGTCTGAACTATAAAGGAACCTCTCACTGGTCCCCATGAAAATGAGTGGAGCATCCTCTGGTTAGTCCTATGCTGCTTCGGGAATCATATCTGTAAAACCAATGAGAAATCAAGAAGTCAAGGAAAACAATTGTAGAAAAGGTAGGATTCCAACCCTGGGAGAAAAGGTCAGTGAGGTCCAATGTTGCTCATTTCCTCATTCTACAGAACCTACTCAATGATTAGCCTTAGAAAAAAGTATGCTGATAACGTTATTAAAATAAACATTGGGAACACTTCTTTGTCTTGATTATTCTTTTGATCAGAGGCTCTCTCCCTTGGAAAGGAACTCTCTTTGACCAAAGCTCACGGCTGCTAATGTGGCATAAACCCAATATAACCCTTGAAACTTGAATGGTGTACTTTAAACAGACTCTGTACACTTTATTGTCTAAGCTGCATTTTTAAATTTCAAGTGTGTATTGTGCTCTAGCTCATTGAAGATGAAGATTCATGATTCTATGGGCTCCTACATTGGTCACAACTAGCTTTGGCCAATAACTTATCAGATACCTTCTTTCTTTCTTTTTTACTTTTAAAATTGTGTCTATGGGTATAGATAAACATGCATATCTACATGTACAAATGTGTGTGTGTGTGTTCATGTGGAGGCCAGACATAAATCAGCCACTTTATCAGTGGCTCTTCATATTATTTTGGGAACAGGGTCTTTTATTGGGTGTTCTGGAGTTCCCTATCTCGGCTCACCTGGCCAGCAAGCTCCAGGGCCTTTCTATCTCTGTCCTCCAAGGGCTGGGTTTGCAGGAATTCTCAGCTTTCCCATGATCTTGGGATCTGAACTTGAGTCTATATGCTTCCACTGGGCTGTCTTCTGGTCCTTCATTCCCTGCCAGGAAGCCATGAATCCTTGACTGACTTCTGAGGAAAACTTGTATTTCTCCCACTTCTGCTCCTGGCCCAGGTCTTTTCCTCTCCTCCTGTTCCTTCCTTTCCTCTTCTTTCCACCCTCCTGCTTCTCTGCTTTTCTTTTGGTGATGGGAAAGTAGTCTGATGACATAGTCATTTTCAGCTTTCCTGTCGTTTGAATTTAGGCTCTGACCAAACCATGTGCCACAGAATCACTGATAGAGCTCTACCAGGCTGTGTAGGTCCTCAGGAAGCACAACAACGTCTGTGGACAGATGCTTAGTCTAAATTCAGTAGCAAGTGTAAATGTTGTTTGAAAATTGGACTAAAAGTTTTGAAAATGTGACTTCAGTGGATAAAAAACTGTCTTATATGTGGCTGGGAAAGTATTACCTGTGTAGAGAACCTTTGAGAAAGCCATCAAATATTTCTGTGTTTAGAGAATGATAGTGTTAAAATGATAAGGGAGATTATTCTTCCTGGAATCCCGGGCATAATGGATGGCTGTTGCTGTTTTTGTCTCTTTACAGATGTACCCATTTGCTCTGCTCATTCATCTTGACTGCTCACGGCGGAAGGATAGCCACATGCTGCTTTCACATCAGTACGGAACGGAATTTCTGCTTTGCGTAGCAAATCGCATGGCGCCACGCAGCTCTGCAGCCAGGACTATCGTAAGGAGGGCAGCAAAGACGGTGGAATACATCCTTTGAAAAAAAGGAATGATTCATGACTGCTAGGTGTGCCCGCCTTTCACCCCTCCACACAGGCCACAGCTAAAGCCCCAGGGAGCTCGGGGTTTCCACGTCCTCTGGTTCAAAACACCTTAGCTTTGCTGTTACTACCGTTTCTGTATAATAGTCCTCAGCGTTTCACTTACGAGACAATCCCATGCCAAACCATCTTGTCTAGGAAGACAAGTTTTGCTTTCAAGTCTGATGCTTACTGAAAGTGAGCAAGACAGGTTGGAAGCTCGCTCCTCTAAGTCTCCTTTCCTTCTACGCATGCGCTAACCCCCGTGGTACTTACTGCTCCTACGTAGAGTAGGTCTAAAGAGCCCTGGGGGTCTGTTCTTTGACTGCGCTCTTAACCTTCTTAACATATATGACACCAAGCATCCTTCACAGAGGCCCAGGAAAGGTGACAAGGCTATTTAGAAGCTTCCACGGGAAAAATACCCCATTATCTTCCCTCTCTTTTCTCAGGGTTCAGCAGCTAACTCTAGACACAAAGAAGTCAGACGCTTTCTTGAATCTCTAGCTAATGCTTTGTGGAGCAGGGCACGGCTGTACTTTTAAAATAAGAGTTTACTAGTGCATATGCTTTTTTTTCATCCTGCCTCAGTACTAGATATCACTGACTGACTACATTATGTCTCCATGTTCTTGTCTATCACAACATCCCTGCTACACAGAATTATTACCACCCCTCCTATACTGCGGGAGAAACCAAGGTACAGAGAAAGTAATTTCTCCATGTTTGACTAGTAAGTGATAGAGCAGGATTTGAACCCAGACCAGGTGGTTTCAGAAGCTTGACCTTTAACCTCCATGCTCTGCTACCTCTTGGTCAGACAACAGAGCATTGCTATAACTCGTGTTTATACCTACCCTGAAGGTTAGAGCCATGTATGAGTTTTCTTATTTTGTTTTGAATGGTTCTCAAGTCTTCTCTTCCAGGTTAAGCAAGCTGCAGTGGATTCTTGGGTGCAGCATTCGAGGAAAATATTCCATGCGATCCCACTGTCAGGTGTGAAACTCTTCCTTCCAACAGAGTAGCTGACTGTGCTTAGCGAAACTGTAGCAGTGGGCATGCATGGAGAGTCACGTGACTCGTCATCTCCATGCTCTGCTTCTGGGTTTATTTTTAGGAGGAAACGGGACAGATTCAGATCTCTTCAACCTGCAGCCTTGTTTGCTTCTGACTTGCTATGTCAGCTCGTTCCTTTCCAACCTGTCTCTCCCCTTATTAGAAGTAGGGCAACCTACTTCTTATTTTCCAGGTAGGAAGTGTTTCCTGCCTGTCCTGACCTGGGTGGATCTTACTCTCTTTGGAGCATTTCTGTGAGGGCCACATCATGGTGATCAGATCCTAGTTATAACCCGGCTCAGAGGAGTTTCTTCACCGTGATGCTCTGGCCTCTCTACCCTGAGGACCTCGGGATGCACAGCCAAAACGCTGATGCAAAAGACTGACAACTTTACAGTAGATACCTTGTCTTCAACACTGCTCTGTTACTGTGATAAATACTCTGTTGTAGAATATTATTTTAAGGTGTCTTCTTTTGTTTATGTTGCATTTGTTTAACTCCGTGAAGCTGTGTTACCGTGCCTGTCTCAAAGGACTGAATGGCCAATGGCAGGGCAGGAGAATGGATAGGCAGGGCTGGCAGGCAGAGTGAATAGATAGGAGGAGAACTCTGGGAGGAAAGAAGAAGGAGCAAGAGAAGGAGGAGGAGGACACAAGGGGCCCGGCCACCCGGTTACACAATGAGCAATAGAGTAAGAAAGTAAGGTTACAGAAGTAAGAGAAAGGGAAAAGCCCAGAGGCAAAAGGTAGATGGGATAATTTAAGGAAAGCTGGCAAGAAACAAGCCAGGATAAAGCCGGGCATTCATAATTAGAAATAAACCTCTGTGTGTGATTTTATTTGAGATCTGGGTGGCAGGCCCCCCAAAGAATAAAAAGAGTAAAACACAAACAACAATACTTTGTCAAAAGCAACTTATGGGAGAAAGGTTTGTTTGGTGTACAGTTTCTGGGCAATGCAGTCCATCACAGGGAGGAAGGCTTGGCGGCGGGAGCAGGAAGCTGACTGCTCACATGGCAACATCCACAGTCAGGAAGCAGAGAAAGAACAGGAAGCAACGTCAGGCTATAAAGCTTCAATACCTATACCCAGTGACATACTTTCCCAGGTAAGACCCCTCCTCTTAAAGGTTTCACCACCTTCCCAGTCATACCACTACTACAGAAATAAGTGTTCAGACACCAGCCGATCGGGGACATTTCACATCTGGCCGCCACAAGTAAAAGGTGAGTGAGGTGGTGAGTTAACAGACATCAAATCATACTCTGGTTTTGCTTTCTTGTCAACTTTGAATGGAACAGAAGTGAGTATATCTGTTTCTCCCATGTTTCTGTGACAGAGTGTCTGGTAGAACCAACTTACGGGAAGAAAGATATATTTTGGTGCATGATTTCAGAGGTTTGCCGTCCATCATGGTGGAGTCCATGGTAATGATAATGACAAGGGCAACAGAGTAGAAATCAGAGAAGAGCTGGCATTAGAAGTGGGCCAGGGTTATCCTCCTCAGAACTTGATGTTAGTCATCTATTCTTGCCAGCTAAGCCCTACCTCCTGAAGATCCCATCGCCTCTGAAAATAGTCCCACCACCTGGAGAACAGGATCTAATATATAAGCCTGTGGGGGTGACATTTGCATCCAAGCCATAACGGAGAGATTCTCACTGAAAGAGCCTGGTCCTGGGACCACCATCAACGTCCCACAAAGCTGCATGTGTACAAGTGTAGAGTAGTGTGTGTGATTGCAAGCTGTGCCAATAAAAAGCATTAGGAAAAAAGTGAGATTTTAAAACCCATAATACTGCACTGGGATGCAGCTCAAACGTAAGGTGCTTGTCTTGAATGCTCCAAACAATGAGCACTATCCCCAGCACTGAAAGATGAAACAAGAAGAAGCCCCTTTATCCCATTTTGGAATCACATTTAAATGATTGCTTTTGGAGAGATGGCTCAGGGTTTAAGAGTACTGGCTGCTCTTCCAGAGGACCTGGGTTCAATCCCCAGCGTCCACCTGACAGTTCACAACTGTCTGTAACTCCTGTTTCAGGGGATCCAACTGCTGTGGGATGTCTTTCTGTATGCTGTGAATATGTGTGGCTCCCATTGGATAATAAATAAAGCTGTTTTGACCTATGGCAAGAAAGCTTACAGCCAGGCAGGAAATCCAAGCAGAGACAGAGAGAAGAAGGGCAGAGTTGGGAGAGACACCAGCTGCCACCCAAGGAGCAACAAGATGCCAGCAGACTGCCACAGCCACATAGCAACATTTAGATAAATAGGAATGGATTAATTTAAGATGAAAGAGCTAGCTAGCAAGAAGCTGAAGCCATAGGGCATACAGTTTGTAATTAATATAAGCCCCTGAGTGATTATTTTATAAGCAACTGCAGGACCTTAGGGCTGGGCAGGACACAGAAAAACTTCCAGCTACACCCAACACCCTCATACAGACATATATTTGGGCAAAACACCAATGTACATAAGATAAAGATAAATAAATTATTTAAAAATGATTGCTTTTCAGAGCCAGGGTACCAATATTAATGTGCTTTTCCCAGTTATTTCTGTGTCTCCTCTAATTAACATAGTACTGAAAGTTAGGTATTGATTAATGACAAATGATTAAACAAGGTCTATCAAATTGAAGGGGCTATTCAGAAGTACACCGTCAGTTGATGTCAGGCAAGGTTTGAATGTGGGTTTTTGACATTTACTGGGTTTGCTTAAAATGCTCTCCAATCAGGTAATCTTTGAGAACATATTTTCTATGAAGATTGGCTTGGCCAAACACAACCACTGGATAATCTGTCTGATGCATCTTACCTTTCCCTATGTCAGATAGCTTCTGTAGAGCTCTGCTTGCCTATCTTGCCGAGGTCCACATCACTGGACTTCCCAGTTAAAGCATCCATGTTTGCTGGGTTCTTGACCGTCTATGTCTTTTGTAGACTGTGTATCTACACAACAGAAGATCTTGGTACATGCTTCACGGTCTTGACTCTGGTCTCTCATCTTCATCCATGCAATTTTCAGTTGTCTTGGTTGTTGACATAACCTTTTTCACCTCTGGTTTCTTCCTTGTATGAGTGAGTCATTTGAACTCCAGTGCTCTCCCGACTCGTGTGCTTCACTGTGGAGTAGACTAAATCCCTTACAACACATTTTAATCTCTAGGAATTCTGGCTGCAATGCAAGTTTCTAGACATTCTGTCTTCTCCCCAAGATACTTATTACAACCAAGTCTGTCTGTGCTGCTCCAAAGATACATTGCATTATTTCCTTGTCTTAGGCTTCTGTCATCTGAGGAACTTGTGATGACTTTGTGGCCCCTCTTCATCTGGTGACATTGACACTTTCTTAGCCCACCTCACATTATAGTACCTCCTTTTTGAGACTTTTCTTGGCCTTAAATGCAAATCCTCCCTTCCTTTGTACTTCCATAGACCCCTGGAGTTTGTTATTAGTGTTTAACTTTAGAGTTGTTACAGCTGCTCATGCGTAGATGTCTCCCATCCTGTAACTTCCCTAGAGGAAGGACAATTTCTTCCTGGAGAGTCGTAGCCTCTGCATGGCTCAGTGCAGCACCTTGCTAATAATAGGAACTCGGTGAATGCCTGACAACTTAAATCCATTTTAATAAAGCTGCTTTCTGACTGTGTGACAAAGGTCATGAAATCACTAAAGCTGGCTCTTTAAGAACTTAGCGCTAACATTATTTTTAGATTTTTTCTGTCACATTGTCAGAATTATGTACTTGATCAGATGCTTTCTTTAATGGAATTCTTTCTGAAACACCCAAAACCTTGATGCAAAGAAACTCTGTCACCTGCTCCCTTTTCTGGATGTCACACTTTGCCTGTTTACCTGATGGGAATTTTTAACAGCTTTTGGAGAATCTGAAGAACCCGAGCAAAGACCATCAGAATGTTTGTTGGGATCGTGACTTGTGTAAACACAGCTCCTTTCTCTTGGTACATGTTGTTTACATTGTGTCTGAGATAAAAATCCATGTGACAAAATTGATTATTGGAGACCTCAGTATTCATAAATTGTCCTTTACTAATTTTCTTTTCTCCTTCTCTCTTTATTCTGTCTGATTTATAAGGCTGTGTTTGAATGATAACACATAGTATACATTCATTTATCATATTATCAAATATGTATGCATTTATATATCATTATCCATACCC